GACACCCCCTCCCCCATCTATCAGATGGACCTCTTGCTATTTTTTTTAAGGAGCTGGGAAAGCAGTGGAACATACTTTTAAAACTTGACATCAAACTGTGATGTACCAGTCCTCTCTGATAATTTCTGGATTTTGCATTTGGAGATTAGCTTGAGTTAAACAAAAATGCATTGTGTGTAACTTGAACCTGAACAAAGGACAAGAAGCAACGGATGGAAACTAATCAAGGAGACACCCAATCTAGAACTAAGGAGAAATTTCCTGACAGTTGAAATGATTAATCAGTGGAACAGCTTGCCTTCTGTAGTTATGGGTGCTTCAACCCAGGAGGTTTTTAAGAAGAGATTGGACAGCCATTTGTCAGGAATGGTATAGGGCAGGGGTAGGCAACCTTGGCTCTTTTATGACTCGTGGACTTCAACTCCCAGAATTCCTGAGCCAGCCATGCTGAGGAGAAAGGGAAAGGTTTCCAAGCTGAGCCATGCTGGCTCAGGAATTCTGGGAGTTGAAGTCCACGAGTCATAAAAGAGCCAAGGTTGTCTGCCCCTGGTATAGGGGTTCCTACTTGTGCAGGGTGTTGGACTAGAACAGTGTTTCTCAGCCTTGACCATTTTAAGGCATGTGGACTTCAACTCCCAGAATTCCACAGCCAGCAATGCTGACTGTGGAATTCTGGGAGTTGAAGTCCACATGCCTTAAAATGGTCAAGGTTGAGAAACACTGGACTAGAAGACCTCCAAGGCTCCTTCAATTCTGTTATTCTGATATCTGTTAAACCAAGAGAAATAATGAAGATGGAGAAGTGACTGTGTTAAAGCCATGGTCCATGTATTTAGTCATTGGTGACACTAAATATTATAGAAACAGATTAATAAGTAGCTCTTTGACCAGTTCAGGGATGTCTGCAGAGTAGGGCACAAAAAGTCAAGATGATGGCTTGTCATGATCAAATCTCTATTTTTATACATGACCCAGAGCTTCAATCACAATAATGTAGTCACAATGTTTGAGTTTTCTGAACATACTGGTATACTCTTTGTCTCTTGACTGCTGAAAGAATGAAATAAGAGGACTCCAGTTATGCTCACCTGTTGGAAAGACAGTATACAAAGGAGTAAGCCAAGAAGAAAACAACAGCAGATTCCTAATTTCAAATTCTCTTGATATACCTACCTATTTATACCCATTATAGCTTTGTGAATAAATGCTTTCCCCCCCTCCAGATGAAATTATATGACTAAGATAGAAGAATATTTTAAGAAGTGTAAACCACATGTTTTCATGCTTTTTTTGAGTTGATTTAGGCAGTTATTTATAGGATCATGGCTCAATTAATTATTTTGTTCAGAGCAGCCCACAAGTGACAGTAATTATCTAGCAGGTTTTTTGTCCTCTTGCAGTTCATACACCCTCATCTCACTTGTGCAAAGAAGAGAGTATGTATGTGGGCATGGTCTTACTTACTTTTATTTGTTTGTTTGATACCCTGGTGTGGTGAGGACTTTGGAGATTGGGTGGAGGGTGAAAATACAAATGCATCCATGACAAGAAAAAAAAAATGTGTGTGCAAGTGGTGTTGTGTTGATGGGGATAAAAACAGCTCTTTAAATCAAGAACTTGGCTTGTGCCTTGTGAAGTGTCTAAGTCAATGGTGGTGAACCTATGGCACGCGTGCCAGAGGCGGCACTCGGAGCCCACTCTGTGGGCACATGTGCCATTGCCCCAGCCCCACCTCCCCCCGTGGCCCCCTCCTTACCAGCAGCCCCCCTGGAGGAGGGTCATCTCCAGGCACGGCCCTCACGGAGCAGCACAGCCAAGGACATAGCCAGGCAACAGGGACAAGACTCCGTCCTTGTGTCCCATAGCATGCAGATGATGCTGTGGGATGTGGGTGGAGGGCGTGGCTGCCATGGTGCTGTAGGGCTGCCAGTGCGATCAGCTGCGGTGGGCCGTGGAGGCGGTGCATGGCCCTGCGGGTGGGCGGGGCAGGGTGTGGGTGGGGGCAGAGCAGGCAGGGCGGGAGGTGGAGCGAGGGCAGGGGACAGTTTTTGGGCACTCAGTCTCTAAAAGGTTCGCCATCACTGGTCTAAGTTATGTATCTGTCCATCTCTGTTACTAGCAACGAGCAGGCAAGATTAGGCCTCCGGGGAAACTATACAGGCTTAGTGGGGAATAATCTGCCAGGATGATGCTGATAGCATTTTTGAATGGCTTCGCTTTTCTGATGGTGTCTTTTTCTTGTTTTCTCTCAAGTTTGAGCTGTCTTGGTGAAGTAATCCCTGTGTTGGCAGTGGTTTGTTCTCTGAGCTCGTTGTTTAATTTCCGAATGGCTAGGTAACATCATCAGTGGAACTTCATTTGAAGAATTTTATTTCAGTTCTCTTCTGCTTTTTAGTAGAAGTATTGCTGTAACAGAAAAAACAACCCATTGATGCTAAAACATACCATTGTGGGTTTTTTTTTTCCATGCAGCTACTTCCTCTAAAGATGCTGGCTTTGACTAACATAGGATTGTGGCCCTTCCCTCTACAGGAAGTCCTTGACTTACAGCAGTTCATTTAGTGACCATTCAAAGTTACAACGGCACTGAAAAAAGTGACTCGTGACTGTTTTTTGCAGCATTCTCCATGATCACGTGATCGAAATTCAGACATTGGCAACCGGTTCCTATTTATGATGGTTGCAGTGTCCCAGGGTCATGTGATCCCCTTTTGCACCCTTCTGACAAGCAAAGTCAATGGGGAAGCCAGATTCAATTAACGATCGGGTTAGTAATTTATCCATTGTGGTGATTCACTTAACAACTGTGGCAAGAAAAGTCATAAAATCGGGCAAAATCACTTAACAAATGTCTCACTTAACCACAGAAGTTTTGGGCTCAATTGTGGTCATAAGTTGAGGACTGCCTTGTATCTGAGTGCAGGCTTGGATGATGCAAAAATCAAAATGCATCCATTGTCCAGTAAAATAATGCCTTGGCTGGATCCATGATGTTTTCTCTCTTGCCCCAAAGCGGTCAGTTTTTCATCGGTCAACTTTTGAGGAGGAAAGAAAGAATGTGCTTATACCTAATCACATAACGGTCTCCCTGTTTCCTGAAGAGCATTTTGGAATAAATCCTGTCTTCGCTAACTGAAGAATTTTACAAGGGAAAACAATCTCTAGTCTTAGACCAAGGGTAGGCAACCTTGGCTCTTTTACGGCTCAGGAATTCTGGGAGTTGAAGTCCACGGGTTGTAAAAGAGCCAAGGTTGCCTACCCCTGTCTTAGACCAAATCCAGCTCCTTTTTGATAATTCTCAGAGACTCTGTTGACTCTAAGAGTTGAATAATAGCAATTTCCCATATGATCAGACAGGGAATATAACAGTTGCATGAGAAACATGTACAGAGACTTATTAAGTCTAAGCCAACCAAACCCTAAAATTATCCCTCCCCAAAACACAGCTTCATCTGTATATTACTACAGTGGTGCTACTCTGGATCCCCTTAAATTTTTTCTCAGTAATAACAGGAATTCATAATCAAATTGCTTATCCATTACCACTCCTTTGAGAGGCATGTGGGAGAAATCTTAATTCTGTGTCCAACACAATATTTCACAGAAGATCAGTTTTGTAACCGTATCCAAATGCTTTTGAAGTCTTCCTTCCTGTTGTTGCAGTTTAGGCCAAATGTCTGTACAGGGGTGGTGCCATAATGGGAAATATACTCTGGGATCTCATATTCTGCTAAGTCTTGGTTTGTTTTAATTTGTTGAAAATGGTCTAGTGCAATGTTCTATATAAAATGCTTAAACACGAACTGCTGTTAACAAACCACATATAATATATCTGGATACAAGTATCACTGAATTTAATGTGCTCTTAAGTTTTGCATTTTCTCAATCAGTGTCGTTGTTGAGATTTCATTGTAAAGACACATTTCAGTGCACAAATATTATCACTAATTATACTTATTGAGCTAGAAAACAGTTTGTGTGCATGCACACATAAGTTACATTTGGATTTATTGGATATACACACAGATAGCCAAGAATGAGTCATGTTCTTTTAATTGGCTACCGAGAACAAATCTTGATTAGCAAAAGTCAGAAGAATTTTGGTAGCACTTTTTTGATATACTTTTTTTTTAATTAAAAGGCATACGTTTTCGTGAACAGTAGTTCACTTCATCAGTTATATAGTGTTTAGCAAAACAGATTTATTAGAATCAGAAAAGGAACTATTCAAACACGCTGCAAGGGATGTGCGATCTCACTTGGAGAACACATTACATGAAAATTGTGTCGTATGTGGTAAATGTAGCCTCCTGCAGCGGAATGATAGTTTGTGAGTTTTAAACAATTCATCTCCATTCTACAATGATTCCAAGAGAAGCCAAGACTGTCGTCTTGGGATCTGTCAAATCTAACTGCACAAGTAAAGACAGTTGAAATTGCTCATTTAATTAAGGTATTGCAAATTAGTTCATCGAGGCAGTAAAATCAGCATAAGGGAATTAGATCGTTTCTGTTAGCCTGAATAAGGCAAACTAAAGTTAGGGTTGTGACTAAGCTCCAATGGTAGGTGATTGTTTTGCTCACACCAGGACACAGGGAAGAGTTCTGCTATCTTCCTTAAGATAGTCATTGTGCATGGACTGGTACTGGGGAAGGCATATTAATCCTCCCATTATGTCACATATAATGAGCAGTGATGTTTTACTTTTAAACAGCCCTTTCTTCTCCAGCTTCAGTTTCTTCCAGCCTTGGAGATAATTGCCAATCATTTAAGACCCTTCAATCTGTCCAGATATCAACCACATCCAATTGTGTTTTTTCCACAGATCTTGAAAGAAGAGATCACGAAGAAGAAAACTGTGCTGTCTATCTAGCCTTTTCGTTTGCAGTACTAAACGTGCTTTTGCTTTATTCCACCAGAAGAGGGTAGACTTTTGAAAGCATTTGACGTCAGCCTGGAATTCCTATTGTGCTTAAAAACAGCAGAGGGAAAACAAGCACAACTTTCTCCTTGGCACCTTGCTAGACCTTGCCTGGAGCAGATGGTGTAAAAACACCCCAAGTCCTTCATTACAAAAGGAATGCAAAAGATTTTCCCCTGGAAGCTGGGAAGCCACGAGATCTCGCAAAAACTGCCAGTGGAACTTAAGGTTGTTTCCCTCTCTCTCTGCCAGAGCTGTCCTGTGTGGGTACTTTTTGTTCTACAGGAATACAGCCTTTCTCTAGGGATGATCTGCTTCTGATGGGGGATCCATGCCACTTTGGAAAAAGACAGAGCAATTTTTCCCAGCGCTGGGTGAGTTTCCTTAAGCATTTCTTTCTCTGCATTGAAATTTGTCAGGACAATTCGAATAAATGTGCTCTGACTCAGAAGCAGCCAGATGATTTGTCTCTTTACGGAAGCTTGTTGCACACTTCACAAGGCTTCGCAACCGGCAGATAGACTTGGGTCCCCTTTCCTAGCCCTGCTGAAAGTCGTTGTGGTTCAGATTGACTAAGACACAGCAAGTATTGGCTTTTTGCAAAATTACCCAAGATTTGTCCAAGGGAAGAAGCTATTGGAAACACAGCTGCAAGAAAATAATAATTAAAAAAAATGACCGAGAATGTTAGTTTGCAAGAGCTGGACAGCGACAGGTCAGAAAACAGCGAAGAGATGGAGATTATTGTTAATGTTGGAGGCGTAAGGCAGGTGCTGTATGGGGACTACCTGAACCAGTATCCCGACACAAGGCTAGCAGAACTTGTGAACTGTTTACCAGGAGGATACGATACGATTTTCTCACTTTGCGATGACTACGATCCTGGGAAACGAGAGTTTTACTTTGACAGAGATCCAGATGCTTTCAAATGCATCATCGAGGTTTATGATTTTGGGGAAGTTCACATGAAGAAAGGCATCTGTCCCATCTGTTTCAAAAATGAAATGGAATTTTGGAAAGTGGATTTGAAATTCCTGGATGATTGTTGCAAAGCACACCTGAGTGAAAAAAAGGAAGAACTTGAAGAGATTGCCCGTCGGGTCCAGTTGATCTTGGATGACTTGGGAATGGACTCCTCCGAAAACAGCTGGACCAAGTGCAAAAAATGCATCTGGAAATTCCTGGAGAAACCCGAGTCATCCTACCCGGCTCGGGTTGTGGCCGTCACATCTTTTCTACTCATCCTGACCTCGTCTGTAGTGATGTGTGTGGGAACCATCCCAGAACTGCAGGTGCAGGACTCTGAAGGTAAATCCATAGAGCACCCAGTTCTGGATAAGATTGAAACAGCTTGTATTATCTGGTTTACTCTGGAGTATGTCCTCAGACTCATCTCTTCTCCCAATAAGTTGCACTTTGCTCTTTCTTTCATGAACATCATTGACATTTTTGCAATCCTTCCTTTCTACATCAGCCTCATCCTGACCCATTTGGGCACCAAATTGATGGAATTAACCAATGTACAGCAAGCTGTCCAAGCACTTCGGATCATGAGGGTGGCCAGGATTTTCAAACTGGCACGCCACTCCTCAGGTCTACAGACATTGACCTATGCACTTAAGAGGAGCTTTAAGGAACTGGGGCTTCTCCTGATGTATCTAGCAGTTGGGATCTTTGTATTTTCTGCCCTGGGTTACACAGTGGAGCAAAGTCATTCTGAAACATTGTTTAAGAGCATCCCTCAGTCCTTTTGGTGGGCAATCATCACCATGACCACCGTGGGTTATGGAGACATCTACCCAAAGACAATGCTGGGGAAACTCAATGCTGCTATCAGTTTTCTTTGTGGGGTCATAGCCATTGCCTTGCCCATCCACCCCATCATTAACAACTTTGTCCGATACTACAACAAGCAGAGAGTGCTAGAGACAGCTGCCAAGCATGAGTTGGAATTGATGGAGCTCAATGCAGGGGACCAGAAAGGCAGAGGTTCCCATGATAAGCCAGCGCACCTTCTGAGGAATAGAAATGAACATTCCCGATGGAGCAGACACCGGAAATTCTCCTATAGTGACACTTTCATTCACCTTCTGTCAGATGATAACTATTACCGAACCAGGCTTCAGAGTTGCAAGTAGTCTGCCTCCATTCAGAAGTCTGGAATAAAAGAGAAATAGAAAGGACTCTTTTGAGGTCAGATGTTTTGCACAGGCTTAAAACACACAAATGTCTCTTTCTTTTGGTAAGTCATGGATTAGAGAAACCGAAGAGGGCAGAGAATGTATAGCCAAGTGTGCTGATCCAAGCTGCCACTTTAGGAGCCAAAAAGATAAATAAAACTAAAGATCTGTGAGTCTCTTGGCCAGTTAATGTTTCATGATTGCTTATGCAACCTTATAAAATCACAAAAGATGTTCTGCATAATAATAAAAGCAAAAATACATGTGTATAGAGTTGGTCAAAGATGTCTCTGAGTTGCTTGATAGAAAAGTCATTTCAACATTTCTGAAAACTTAGTATATTTAGCACAATGCAATCTAAGATTTTTACAAGTGAAATCCAGTTGAATATGTAATACTCTGGGAAATGTGTTTTTAAAAACCTGTAAGATTTGGTGATTCAAAACTTCCCTTTTTAGCAAAGAAAAAAGATTGCTCCCGAAGATACTATAATAAAATGATATTTATGCCAAATAAGAGGATCTTCAGTGGATATGTTTTTCTTGTTATGATTTCATTCAGTTCCTTGTAGGAAAGTTCTATGCTTTAAAACTTTACACTAAGCCTTTAACCCTTTTATAGTAATACTGACATTTATTTGTCTTCAGTCTTGCAAAAAAAGGAGAAATAAAAGTGATCAAAGAAAAATTGTCACAACAGCATGTATTCTATTTATAATGGTGAGATGTTTGTGCAGTTTCTAGAAATACAACATTTGATTTCTTAACAAGAGGATAAATCTCTCATGCAGCCTATGTTCTGAAGGATGGGTATAGCATGGAGAATTTACAAAGTGATATCCGTGGATCTAGAAAATATAGTCAAGCAAAACATAAAACTAGGGGGATTTTAAATGGCCAGAGCCATTTATTTCTGGATGGGGTTGCTTTTTGTGCTTAGAATTTCATAGTACAATTATTCAATCCAAAAGTGATAGATAATTTACATTTTAAGAGTGGCAGAAGAGAACTAAGTAACTGAAGTTCTGGGAATATCAGAAAGGATACCATAAATAGGTAGATTTAAGCCAGTTACCCTACTATAAAAAAATAAAATAAAAATTGTGTCTTCTGGCATACAGAATGGCTACAGTTGCAATGAAATTTATTGGAACTGGAGTTTGATTTTGAAAACATATATTTCACTCACCAGCACCACTCATTTTTACAAGTCATGTGATGAGACTGTCTTGGATCATTTTCTTATGTGAAGGCTGTAGATTTGTTTTCCAGGAAGCTCAGTCACATTGCCCAATGCTGGATAGCCGAGACAAATAGACGATCTTTTAATTTTGTAACACTCTTTTGCCAGATGTAACAAGAGGAAGGCAAATGTTCTCTGCCATTGTACTTGCTCTCTTATGTTCATTTCTGATCCATCAAATTGGAGGGTAATTTTTAAAATTAACCCTCGTGCTTCTACTTTCTTCTGTTACTTGGAAGATCTCAATAAGATGGCATGCTATTTGGGGGGCAAGTGGAAAAGGGCTTGAGGCAATATTTAAACCCCTCATTTTTTAAAAAACTTGATTTTAATTTATTGCGTTAAGAACAAATAAAGTTGCATAGAAGATTCTCCCTCTTTTTCTAGCCTGATAACTACCCCATAATATCAATGGAGGCAGAAGCAGTGATTCAGCAAAGGACATCTAACTTTAGACTCGTGGCCAAGAGGGATTTTGAATCATAGTCTCAGGGTTGTTACATTTGGAAACAAACAATTTACCACTAACTCAACAACAGGAAATAGATTCTTGTGGATGAGGATAAGGATTTAAAGTAAATTGTAAGTAAAAGGATTTGGAATTCTCCAAATGCCAAAATGCAAGTGTTAAATAAAATTGCCAACCAATCATTACTGCAGCCTTTAGTACAACTATTCTCGTTTAGCATTAAATTCACATGGCAATGATTCCTTTTAATAAAACTAATTAATTCTTTAGTTAGAGATCTGAGTAAGAAGCAACACATACATTCCACCACTCCAGAAACACATTAAGAAGGTACAGGGCTCTTCTAAAATAAAATAAAAGATAGAAAATAGCTTCCAAACTAGACCATGGGCAGATCTATGACTCCACAACTCAGCCCAAATTCATCTCCACAAAAATCTAGAAACCTCTTCACCATAACAACCACCACAACAGCTGTCAGTCTTATCAGGTAATCCAGACAGGAAACATGATCAGATAAGTTAATTCTACTTTATTGTGAAGCTTTATTAAGAGAACCTTGCAAGCCTGAGAGTAAAATTCTCCTGCTATCACCTTTACAGTCCAATAATGTAGGAAAGGTCTCCTGTGCTTCTTGCTCTGCCCCCTGTACAGCTGTGGGCTATGTCCTCTCTTACAGTATCTAACCATTCCCTAGACCAGAGCTTTTCAACCAGTGGTACGGTACCACCAATGGTACATTGGCACCTGGCAGGTGGTACGCAGCCCTGCCCAGCCTGGCCAAGTGTAGCTGGGGAAGGAACGAGCCAAAGTGCAGCACAGGACTTACTGTGAGAGAGTCCTCAGGAGCTGCAGGGGTAAGTCGAGGACTACCTGTACTTTATCACTTTTTTCCTTTTTGGGGGGGGGGTCATCAAGTTTTTGACTGGGGTCAAGTTTTTGCTTGTCAAAAGGTTGCAAAAGGGGATCACATGACCCTGGGATACTGTGACCATCATAAATATGAATCAGTTACCAAGCATCCAAATATAAATCACATGACCCTGGGCATGCTGCAATGGTCATAAGTGTGAAAAATGGTCATAAGTCATTTCAGTGCAATTGCAACTTTGAACAGTGGGGTTTTTTTTGTTTTTGGTCATCAAGTTTTTGACACCTTGCTAGGTGGTACTCGAATATTGCCATATCCTAAAAGTGGTACAGTCGATGAAAAGGTTGAAAAGCCCTGCCCTAGACAGCATCTCTTTCCCTAATCTCCCAAGGTCATTACATCAACAGAGTCTGTGTGTTTTCCTCTTTTTCCTCCCTTCTCCATTTGTTGGGTGCAGAACTGACATATTATTATTTACTTTTCAAATTAACATCCAGATTTGAAAGCCAAGAAAGTCAAGTCCACCGTTCCTAGCTGACTAGCCGTTGTAGTCTGAGGTAGCTGCTGCCTTCTCTTGCTTATTCATAAAGTCTTCCTTCATAGTTGTAATGCTGGATTTTGACTAAGTTGGCCCAAATTCAAGTCCACCTTCAGCATGGGAGTTTGTTGGGTGATTTTGGGGCCAGGCACTCCATCTCACTCCAGTTATTCTTAGAGGATTGTCACTGTGGGATAAAGGATGGAATTGTTCCTGTGGAATAGAGGATTGAATTGGTCCACCCCTAGAGGAAACATAAGATGCAAATTTATCACCAAACAACCTTGCCTTGAAGTATTCATTAAGCTGTTGGAACATAAACAACAGCTTATAGTTTTTCTTGGGAACAAGGATCTTGAGCGTCCCACACTTATTTTGTTTCTCCAAACAATGAGAAGTTCAAGAGATACAGCACTTACTGAGATCTCATTGTATTTGAAAGAAAACCACTGATTTTATGATTTTATAAATCTATAAAAACATTGATTCAATACAGTTAATGATACTGATTGATTGATGACCAGAGCCCTCTTTTTCCATTTCAAGTCTTGGGAGAAAGAGTTACTCCCCAAATGCGTCTCTCAATTTTCTGTAGCTCTTCCTTTCTCTATTTTGTAAAAAGAACAGTCAACTGTAGCCCAGTGAGACAAATGCTTCAACTCCCTTCTTTCAGGTATATAATGGGAGACGATTTATGGGTAAAAGAGATTGCTACACCATCAAACAATCCAGCCAGGACTACTGTTTAAATATAATGTGAATTGATTGGAAACAGATCCTCAAATCCTTATTTCTGCAATCCAAACATGTTGGAATAGGGCTGATACTTTTTCCCCTCTGCCCAGTTTCCCCACCTGCTGTAGGTCTTGTGGAGAATAGCTCTACCATCTTGCATAAACATTAACTCTGGACTGAATCAAGAGATAGTGCGTGGTACTTGTGAGTGGCAGGACCCTGCAACATCCCCAAATTGGACAAAATGCATTAACATAAATCAAGATTCAAAGTGTCAGAGATCTTGGAAGATCATAGGCTTTTTGCATAGCAGTTTACGAGATTTGGGATATTTTTGATGTATTTTTTTTTGGCTCCTTCTCCTGATCACCAAACAGTTCCTACGACTTGTTTGCCTAAACCTAGGGGAGTTCAACTGTCCAGGCAGAACCTGGAACACTGGAGGAGTGGGCTTTTTCTATCCATTTTTCAATAATTTCACTGGTGCTACTGGCCTCAAAAGGACTCTAAGCAAAAAGCTTGCTCAGGAGTCTACAACATACAATGGACTAGTCCACCTTCAAATCCTCCCACCTCTGTTTTCTTCCCTCTCCGTTCTTTTCCTGGCTTGCTTTTTTCATTGTGTCTCTCTTCTTTCCATTCATGGTGTTTGGTTTCCACTTGCATTTTTTTTCCTCCATCGTCACCTTTCTCCAGCTATTTTCTATCTCTTACTGCTTTAAAAGGGAAGTTGTGTGCTACCATTGCATCCAGCAGCATTTTCATTCCTCCAGGAGATGAGAGAAGAAGAGAGGAGGGGAGGGGAGGTGAAGACAGGGTCTCCCTTGGTACTTCTTGGGGTGAAGCCATGGACTTCCATCTGGTGATCTGTAGCACTCCATAAATTTGCAAGTGAAGTTTATTTTTCTCCAAAACGCTGAAATCAGTTCAGTGCCACAGAATCAGCTTCTCTGTTTGCAGAAGCTTTATGAAAAAACAGCATTAAGGAGTCCCACTTTAGGAAGTTCATTATGGAACTATCTCACATCGGTAAAGAGGAGTACAATCTTCCTTCAGATGCCACTGTTTCATTTCACCATTCTGATTTCCATATCTGTTCTCACTGTAAGAGGAACGTGCTCGTCATCTGACCCCTTCAATTTGTATTCTTTCATTGGAAAATACTAATGCTTTACATTGTACTTAAAGCAATCAGGGTGACATTTTTATGGAAATGACTTTAAAATGAAGATGAATTCAGAATTTGTGGTGGGAGAAGAATAGTGCTCTGCTAGTTATATTACACCAAGATATTTACAAGGAAAATGAAACATGCAATCTTATGCATGCTATATTATCTGATGGAACCTCCATAGAACTGATTTCACGGCAGGCTGTATTGGATAATTGCTTGGATCCTAGATTGTCTTCTCTGGTAAACATGATACAATGTCAGTTTGGCCTCAGCAATGCAGATTACTGGGGAGAAAATTGCCCCCAGGGTAAATAGTATGGTAGGACAGCCATGAATCTGCATCGTGCATAATAAAATGGAATCTTTTATATTTGTTCAATTTTACTGTTCTGGTTTAAGAAACCATAATATAATATGCTTTCCAAACCAACTGAAAAACCTTTCTGTGAAAGGCAACACATACATTTTTAAGATCAAATATATTCATTGTTGGGTTCAGGATTCATGCCGAGACTGGTACCTGCATTTTGTAGACAGATCTCCCCCAGGTTATGCTTTTATC